GTTCCCAGAGAAGCGGTGGATGCCCCATCCCTGGGAGTGTCCAAGGCCAGGCTGGATGAGGCTTGGAGCAACCTGGGCGATGGAAGGTGTCCCTGCCCATGGCAGGGGGTGGGACTGGGGGGGCTTTAAGGTCCCTTCCAACCCAAACCATTCCATGCAGGCCAGTCTGGGACGCTGCAGCGTCACTTCTTGCATCCTGGCAGCAAAGTGTGCAGGTATCTCGGGCAGTCGCAGACTTGTGTGGAGCCGGGGTAACATTCTGCCAGCCTGTGACAACCCTTGTATTGCTCGGAGGTATAGAGCTGTTATGTCTCACTGCACGCGTGCCCAGATTGTCTTCTTGCTGCTGTTCCTGTTGTTTTTTGCAGTTAAGTTATCAGTGATGTTCCATTTTCCTTTGCTCCTAGATGAAGCTCCTGGTTCTTGGTGTGTTCGCCCTGGTTTACGTGGCCCACTGTGAGGAAGGTGCCAGGCTCCTGGCCTCCAAATCTCTGCTGAACAGATATGCGGTGGAGGGCAAGGACTTGACTCTGCAGTACAACATCTACAACGTCGGCTCCAGGTAAGCCTTGTCCAGCCTCCTCGTGCCCACCCGGAGCACACGTGGGGGCAGGCGTGTGCGTGCGCTCATGCGTGTGAGGCTATTTTTGGGCTCCTTGATGGGCTGTTGGTTTTGCTGCCCCTGACTCTGAGCGTACCACCAGTGCTTGAAGGTTTGACCTTGTAATTTGCCTTTTCCTTCTTGTTCCCTTCTCCCTGTTTTCCCCCTTTCCTGCTCTCCCCTCGTGGCAGCTGTAGCTGTTGGGGCAGTTACTTCTGTGCCTCGTGACACTCTGCCCCCCCTGCGCGCAGCCTCCCATTCTGGGCTTTGTGAGCTCTTTTCCACCTCTGGTTTCCTGTCTGGTTTTGCAGTTTCTCTCTTGGCTGTCCTTTTTCCACACTCTCCCTGTAACATCCCTTGATTCTCCTCAGCATCATCCAGCTGCCGGACTGTCAGCCTGGAACTGTCACCCCTCGTCGGTGCAGTCCCCCAGGAGCCTCAGGTTCTCTTCTCATCCCGTTTAGCGCTGCTTTAGACGTGGAGCTGTCGGACGACTCCTTCCCCCCGGAAGATTTTGGCATTGTTTCTGGGATGCTCAACGTCAAGTGGGACAGGATCGCTCCGTATCTTTTCATGTTTTAAAATTTCTCCCAGCGCTCCTTCGGACCCCTCTCCTGCTGTCGTTGGTTGTCGCTGGAATTCCAGCACGTCGGGCCCTTGGCAGGGTGCTGGACGAAAACCTCTGTTCTTGGAGGTGCTGTGTAAGCACAGAGAAGCTCCTTGCAAACAGGGCCAGGTCCATGTGTGCTCCACCTGCCGGATCCCCTCGGATGGGGCTGGCTGTAACCACAGCCGACTGATCTGGCAGCAGCACAGTTCCCCCCGGTTCGAGGCTCTTTACCCATCTCCTCACTTTTCTTCCTTTGAAATGCAACCATTTTCCTGAAGTGGCGGCTCAGAGCGAGTAACGTGTCCCACACAGTGGTTCTGCGGCCTCTAAAAGCTGGTTACTTCAACTTCACCTCTGCAACCATCACGTACCTGGCGCAGGAGGGCGGACAGGTCGTGGTGAGTTGACTGTTCCTAGGATCCTTGCCCGGACCACGGAGCACATCCGGCTGTGCTCTTCGGGCCGCTTGCTAGGCAACGCTGCACCCTTCGCTGTGAGTTGGCGAGAAGGAAAGGTGGCAAAACCATCCTTTCCCTCTCCCTTTTCCAGGTTGGTTTCACCAGTGCTCCTGGGCAGGGAGGAATCTTGGCTCAGCGCGAGTTTGACAGGAGGTTCTCCCCTCACTTCGTAAGTACCTCTCAGTCAGCGAAGTTGCGCTGCGGCAACGGTGCAAGCTGATGCAGCGGCTTTTGGCTGGTTTGTGGCGTGTCTGGCTTGCACTAGTCACCTGGAAAACTCCAGCATGGGTCGCCAGTAATCCCTGCCAGTTGTCCAGGAGGGTATCCCAGAAAATGCAGTTTTCATCCCAGCTGCCTCCGTGAAGGAGCTGGCACTGGGATCTGGGCCGGAAGCTTTGAGAGTGGATCTGGTGGTTATAAAACTCGTTGTATGTGATCTCGTTTGACTTCTTTCTAACCGTTTCTCCTCCCAGCTGGACTGGGCAGCTTTTGGTGTGATGACCCTGCCCTCCATCGGGATCCCGCTGCTGCTCTGGTACTCCAGCAAGAGGAAGTACGACACCCCCAAGACCAAAAAGAACTGAGCAGCGTCAGATGCCTCCAGCCCTGCAGAGCTCAGGACAGAGCCGACCCACCCGGGACAGCGGGTGTGCTGGGATCACCGCAGCCACCCCCTGCAAAGCGCAGCTGGGCCACGCGGCAGCCCTGTGGCGCCGAGGGAATCAATCGTGCCAACGGCACCACGTGTTGGCTTTAAAAAAGAAACAAGCCACCAAACACCCCCAACCCCTCCCGCCCCCCATCGGCGTATCCAGAGCAGAGACCCCTCCCTCTGCTGCAGCCGGCGCAGCTGTAATACTGATGTGCTCACGCACAGGGGTGTGCATCCACGGCGTTTTGGTGCCGGCGCTGCCTTCCCGCGCTCC